AGAACAAGTTAGATCTTATCATCTTCTAAGTTCTTCTTTAATTTCTTTCTTTAGTGTTCTGTAGTTTTCATTGTAGAGATCTTTCACCTCTTTCATTAAGTTATACCCAAGTTTTTTCTTTTTTTGAGGCTAGTGTAAATGGGGTGATTTTCCTAGTTTTTCTTTSAGCGGATTTGTCACTGATGTACAGAAAAGCCTTTGAATTATGGGTGTTGATTTTATATCCTGCTACTTTGCTCAATTCATTTATTAGTTCCAGAAGATTTATGGTGGAATTTTTTGAGTCTCCTAGGTATTTTTTGGGTCAGCAAATAGTGATAATTTGAGTTCTTCTTTTTCTATTTGTATCCCTTTAGTTTCTTTCCTCTAATTGCTCTGGCCAGTGTTTCAAGAACTATGTTAAATAGAAGTGGTGAAAGAGGGCATCCCTGTCTTGTTCCAGTTTTTAGAGGGAATGTCTTCAGTTTCTCTCCATTTAGAATGATGTTTGCCTTGGGTTTAGCATAGGATAGCCTTTAAGATGTTGAGATATGTTCCTGATATCCATAGTTTTTCTAGTGTTTTGAACATAAAGCGGTGCTGTATTTTGTCAAATGCTTTCTCTTCATCTATTGAGATAATCATATGATTCTTATCTTTAAGTATATTGATGTGATGAATTACACTTATTGATTTCCATATGTTGAACCAAACTTGCATCCCTGGGATGACACCCAGTTGATCATGCATGATATTTTTGATATATTTTTGTATTCAATTTGCCAGAATTTTGTTGAGAATTTTTGCATCTATGGTCTGAAGTTTTTTTTTTTAATATATCTTTGCTGGGTTTTGGAATCAGGGGATATTGGCCTCATAGAATGAGTTTGGATGTATTGCCTCTTTCTRTTTCCTGAAATGAATTGAAGAGTATTGGTATTAGTTCTTCTTTAAAGGTCTTGTAGAACTCGGGTGTGTATCCATCCGGTCTTGGTCTTTTCTTGGTAGGTAGACTTCTGATGGCATCTTCTATTCCATCGCTTGAAATTGATCAGTTTAAATTGTGTATATCATCTTGATTCAATTTGGGCAAATCATATGACTCTAGAAGTTTGTTGATGCCTTTGATATTTTCTATTTTATTGGAGTACAAGTTTTCAAAATAATTTYTAATTGTATTCTGTATTTCTGTAGTGTCTATTGTGATATTTCCTTTTTCATCATGTATGTTAGTAATTTGAGTTTTCTCTCTCCTTCTCTTTGTTAGCAAGGCTAAGTGTTTGTCAATTTTATTTATTTATTTTTTAAAAACCAACTTTTTGTTTGGTCAGTTTTTACAATTGTTTCTTTTGTTTCAGTTTCACTGATTTCAGCTCTGATTTTAATTATTTCCTGTCTTCTACTGCTTTGGGGTTGATTTGTTCTTCTTTTTCTAGGGTTTTGAGATGTAATATTAGATCATTTATTTGTTGACTTTTTCTTCTTTGAATGAATGAACTCCATGCAATGAAATTTCCTCTTAGAACTGCCTTCATAGTGTCCCAGAGATTTCAATATGTTGTATCAGTGTTCTCATTTACCTCTGAGAATTTTTAATCTCCTCCTTGATGTCTTTTACAACTAATGGTTCATTCAGTAGCATATTATGTCGTCTCCAGGTGTTGGAGTAGCTTTTATTTTATCATTGATTTCTAATTTTGTTCCATATACTCTGAAAAAATGCAGGGTAGTATCTCTACTTTTTTGTATTATACTAAGATTTGCTTTGTGGCATAATGTATGTTCTATTTTAGAGAAGGATCCATGTGCTGCTGAGAAGAAAATATATTTGCTTGTTGATAAATAATATACTCTATATATGTCAGTTAAGTCTAAGTTATTGGTTGTACTATTGAGTTCTATGGTTTCTTTGTTTAGCTTTTGTTTGGAAGATCTATCCAGTGGTGAAAGAGGTGTGTTAAAGTCACCCAGATTTATTGTGTTGTGGTCTGTTTGACTCTTGAACTTGAGAAGAGTTTGATTGATAAATATAGATGCTCCATTATTTGGGGCACATATATTTATAACTGTTATGTCTTGTTGATGAATGATTCCCTTAAGCTGTATGAAATGTCCATCTTTATCCCTTTTGATTAACTTTAACTTGAAGTCTACTTTATTTGATACAAGGATGGAAACCCCTGCTTGTTTACGCAGCCCATGTGAATAGTATATTTTATCCCAATATTTCACCTTCAGTCTGTGTCTTTTGCTGTAAGATGAGTCTCTTGAAGGAAGCATACTGTTGGGTCTTCTTTTTTAATCCAATCTACCAGCCTATGTCTTTTGATTGGTGAGTTTAAGCCATTAACATTCAGGGTTATTATTGAGACATGATTTGTATTTCCAGTCATTTTTGTTTATTTTTGGTATTTAACTTGACTTGGTTTCTCCTTTGGTTAGCTTTTCCCTTATTGTAGTTCTTCTCTTTGCAGATTTTCATTGTTGTTTTTTATTTACTCCTCATGGAATATTTTGCTAAGAATATTCTGTAGTGCAGGCTTTCTTGGTGTAAATTCTTTTAGCTTTTGTTTATCATGGAAGGTTTTTATTTCATCATCAAATATGAAGCTTCATTTTGCTGAATATAAAGATTCTTAGTTGGCATCCATTATCTTTTAGATCTTAGTATATGTTGTTCCAGGATCTCSTGGCTTTGAGGATCTGGGTTGAAAAATCTGCTGAGATCCGAATTGGTCTTCCTTTATATGTAATCTGATTTTTTCTCTCTTGAGGCCTTTAAAATTTTATTCTTATTCTGTATGCTAGGCATTTTCATTTTAATGTGTCTTGGTGTAAATCTGTTGTAATTTTGTACGTTTATTTTCCTATAGGCCTCTTTTATTTGATTTTTTTCCAATCCAATCTTCATGCTTGGGAAATTTTCTGATATTATTTCTTTGAAGAGATTTTGCATTACTTTGGTTTGAATCTCTTAACGTTCCACTGTCCCAGTAAATGTTAAATTTGGTCTTTTGATGGTATGCAATAATTTTTGGATATTCTGTTTATGGTTTCTTACCATCTTCACTGTGAGATCAACTTTATTTTAAACATTGTGTATTTTGTCTTCATTGTCTGAGGTCCTTTCTTCCAAGTGAACTGATCTGTTGGTGATGCTTTCTATTGAGTTTTTTTATTTGGTTTATTATTTTTTTCATTTCAAGAATTTCTAGGGTTTTTTTTTCAGAATCTCTTTCTCTTTCTTGAAGTAATCTCTTACAACCTGTATTTTTCTCTCTTATATCTTTGTTGGTGTGATTGGTGGTTGCCCATAATTGTTCTCTTATCTCCTTGTTGGARTGATGGATTTTTGCTTATATCTGCTCACTTGGGTCATTTTTTAATTCCCAGGTCATTTTAGTTATGTATACTCTGAACGCCTTCACTGACATTTCATCTGGTGCACCATCTATGGATTCTATTGTTGTAGTATCTTGGTTTGTTTGGGGCACTTTCCTCCTTTGTTTTTTTCTTGATGTCTATGTGTAGATCCGAGGTATTGAAGCTTCTGCCCTATTGTCTTATAGTGTGCCTACAGGTTACCAATACCTCACCTATAAAGGGGAGATAATAATATAGCACTCAATGTATCCAACATGCAGCCATAGATCAGTTAGCTTCTATTTTTACATTTACAGTTTTGTCACTATAATCAAAAATGAAGAGTTTAGTGGTCTTTACCATATAGTCAATATATTTGTGTAGTGGTTTATAGATTCTAATGGTAGAAAGGGGGACGGGGTTTTGGCTGAAATGTTTATGAGGTAGGATGTGATAACATAGAGGTATTAGATTATATGACTAGTGAAAAAGTAATCATAAGTTGACTGTTAGTAGGAGAAACAAGAGACAGGCAACCCCATGCAAGACTTCCTGTTACCTCAGCAACAGGATAACCATTAGCACCCCTAGTAGAGATACCTCTGGTGCATCCAGGCCCATAGGGAACTTGGTGACATCTTACCAGGTCCTTATTGTTGTTCCTTGATAGAAGCAGTGATGTCTCAGTTTGAGGTGGCTGCAGCCTCAAGACTATATGTACCCTGATGTTGGGCTGTGAAACCATGCATTGGTGGATAAAGAACCTCAATTATGAGTGTGGACATGGGGTGGGCCTCTCTCCAGGTCACCAAGCTGTGGGGTGCTGGGGCAGGCCTCTCTCCGGGTCGCCAGACCATGTGGAGCTCTCAAGTTATTTTTTAGATTTGGACTTACATCATGGTGTCCCTAACTTTGTTTTGATAGGCAGAGAAGCCCTGATTAAKTTTATTTTTTCTTTGCTAGAATACTGAGACTCTTCCAACATGAGTTCAAATTGACAAATTTCAACTAACAAAAATAATAAGAAGAATAATAAGAGAAGATGGAAATGTAAAGCCAAACCCTTCCAGGCTGAAGTGTGTGGCTTGCCCAGGGCAAGCATGTCTCAAAGCGTTGACACTCCTCTTGGGCAGTCCCTTCAGTGGTCTGTGAGCCTGAACCACATTCCTTGAGGGAGAGATGCATGCCAGCTGCAGATAGCAACAACAGCACCAGTGCAGTTTCCCATTTTGACAGTAGACCTGCTGCCCTGCGTATCTTCCCTTGTGCCCTCATTCCGGAATCTCAGCATGTGAGCTTCCTCATGCAATGGGCCTCTTCACTATTTCAATACAACCATCACACACCTTTTCAAATTCTCTATTCTTTGAACAAGTCCTCTCAGGATAAGATTTCCTTTTAGGACCTCCCAAATCTATTAACTTTCCTCTAAATGCATTCCAGATTGTTTTCACATTCTAGGTGTGGTTTATAAGAACCSTGCTGTTGTGTTTTCATTTTTATTAATAAAATCTATACTTAAATGAAGAATCCCTTATAAATAAATATACCTGATTTTCTGAGTATACCAAAAGATCACCTTCTTTCTCACACTGGATCAGCAGAAATATGAGCTTGTCATTTTTTYCTGTTCGTTGCTGATATGCTTTGTGTCTTAGGTCATGGCTGACGGCACTGTGTCAACTTTGTTACCTGAAAAAAAATCGGAAGATGATTTAAATGTAGAAACTGAGGGATATGATAGTTTATCATCTATTAACTTTGAAAAGAACTTTCTGCAAATCTATGGTGAACATGTTCCCAGGTAAAAAGCTAATACTAATAGTTCCACAGCTTTTAGTCTCAATTTCTTACTGAAGAAGTCTTTAACTGAATATTTCATGATTACATTTTTACCTCTTCAAACAGATTTTTTGTTATCTATGCTGATGGGTCAGGAACGGAACTTCTTCGTGACAGTGACATAGAAGAATACTTGTCTTTGGCCTACGGAGAATCAACTGCTGTGGTTCTACAAGAGCCWGTGCAGGAACAGCCAGGTAGAGAAGCCACATGTCTGGTGCCCCCTTCTGCTCTCCTCGCACTCTCCCTCCATTCCATGCCAGCCTCTCCACTATTTCCCCTTTGCTCACTTTCTACTGCACTTTCGACCTGGCCATGTCAACTATTTATGTAGCTCTTTGAGTTTCTTTTGCTGTTTTGCTATATCTGAGCATTGACCTATGCAAACTGAGTCCAGATTCCTCTTCTGTAAGCAAAACTGTATGTATGTTTAGTTATATGCCTGTGCTCCTGTTTATGAGTTCATTTCATCCTGGTAAGGAAACACCAAGAAAAATGAAATGTCTCTTATAAGTTCATTCTGGGAGTTCATTGGGAAGGTTTGATTTGGTGGAGTTGAGTGAAAGAAAAGAATATGTTTTATGTGTGAGTTAGAATGCCAATGTGAGATGTTACATAAGCCATCCTCATTAGGCATTTATATGTTAGTATATTGTTGCAGGTGTACATAATGTAATATGCCTTGTCTGTTGTGATTATGGAGAGTAGGGGTCTCTAATTGATGATGCAGTACATATGTGGAACTGTGTGAGAATTAGAATTCRTCTCAGATTTCTCTGTTACTCATTTATTCAACTAGCATCACTTGGCAACCTGTCAGGAGCCACATACCACCTGAGTGCTAGGAATACAATGGTGAGCTATGGAACCTGTTTCCAACAGAGCTTATATTTTAATGGAAGAGATGGGCATTGTTCACACARTAATACAGATAACCATATCAGTATAAATTGGGCTGAAGTTTATGAAAGAAAGGAACGTTGTTTAATGACAGCATCTAATGGAGGAACCTGATGCAGTATAGAAATCTTCCCTGAAGACCCTTGAGTCGAGAGCTAGTGGATGAGTAGGGTTACTTCAGGCAGGAGGGGGAAGTTTTTTAGAAAAGAGAACACAAAGAAAGAATCATGACACATTGTATAACAGGGTGAACAAAAAGGCCAATGTGACTAGAGCACAGAGATCGAATGGTGCAAGTTGAGGCAGGGGACAAAAAAATATAACCATTTTATTTCAGGAGCCATGAAAGTCAAAGAATTATTTTAATTATGGACAAACATAGCCAGTCATGCTGACTGCAGKAGAGGGTCACTTAGGATGCACATGGGTAGAAAGGCTAGTTGTTCCTATAGTCCAGAACAGGATGGTTCTGAGGCACATGACCTAATGTAGGGTCTGTGGAGAGGGCAGAAGTGGATCGACTCAAGGAAGTTTGTTGGTGGAACTGTCAGTAATTGGATATGTTTATCAAGAGACAGTGAGGCATTAGGGAATACTTCTAGGTGCTCTAAGTTAAGTTTCTAGGTGTTATGGTGACTAACAGCCTCCTCGTCTTGCTAGATTGTTAGGTCCTTAAGCATAATCACAGTGCCTCACTAAAATTTTTGTGTAGAAGGCAGTTCAAAAGTGTGTTGATCCAGGTGCAGTGGTACATGCCTGCAATCTCAGTAGCTTGGGAGGCTGAAGCAGGAGGATCACAAATTCAAGGCCAGCCTTAGCAACTTAGCGAGGTCCTAAGCAACTTAGTAAGAACCTGACTCAAAATTAAAAAAAAAAAAATGGGGGGGGGGACTAGGGGTATGACTCAGTGGTTAAGCACCCCTGAGTTAAATTTTAAAAAGTGTTTGTTGGATTTAGTTGATATCTGTTGAATTTATCAGAATAATTTGGATGCAGAAATAATCTTATAATCTTTTGATGACTCTCTTTGAACCAGGTTCTCTGAGTATCACAGTCCTTCGTCCTTTTCATGAAGCTTCACTGTGGCTAATAAAAAAGGAATTAAGTACAATCRTTCCTCCTAATCTCCAGTCAAGGTCATGGGAGACCTTCCCCGCAGTCGAGGTATTCATGTTCCGCACAACTCACTTTATTTGCATGTCCTTCTATCRGTGGACCATAATCTCAGGTCTTCTTTCACATAATCATACCTTTCATCCTCCAGTAAATTGCTAATATCTTCATGAGGTTTTTTATTTGAGGGCTTTTGACACTTGAAGATGTGGCAATAGAACTTTAGAGAAATACATCTGACTTGCTAATTTTGGTTTTATTTCTTTTATCCTATATTGCACACTTGAGCATCTTCCTACAATATCAGAATATCCTTTCTGAATAACCTCTAACACCTCTCCTGTGGTGCAGTTACTGGTATTATGCCATTCCCTCCTGTCACTGCTTACTTGTTAGTTTTAACACAGAATTTTTGGYCTTCCACACATCCCATTTCCCCCTTCATATATTAAAAATGCACAACCCAAGCAGGTARGAATAATGTAAAGGAATATACATGGATTTTGCAATTGTAGTGTTAGAAAGTAAATACTGTGATTGTGTCAGATTAAAGAACTTCACCTAAGGTTTTGGATTTTTTTTTAAGAGTGAAAGAAAAAGGTGTGTAATTAAAAAATTTTAAAAATGAAAGAAAATATTTGACAAGAATTATGAAGTCTTGCATCTTGCAAGTTTTTCCATTTAATTTTCCAAACAATTTATGAAATGTATCCAGCATTATTGTAAGGTTTTAAGTTATTAAATCAATRAACATACTGCTAATATGATCAGAACAGGACACTAGTGTCAAAAAAGGAGGATAATGTCTTGGGGTTGTGATTGTTGCTGTCCTGCACTCAATCTTACACCAGCAAGGATACAGGTGATTGGTATTTCAGATAACAAAGGCTTTTTCCCTCTATCATTTAACTTGGTGACTAATCAACATGATGTGATAAAGGTGACCATGAATTCAGGCTCTGTTTCTACTTCTTATTTGTGTGAGATTTGAGACAGATCACACTGCACCTAAGTTTCCTTCTCTGAAAATGAAAAATTCACACGAAACATCTCACCAAGGCTATATCCAAGTTGAAAGTACTATGTTGTGATAAAKAATACACCGCATCTGGGATTATTAAAGAAGTTTATTCTCTTCCTCTGAAACTTCTTACACTAAGAACCTCAGGTTCTGAGTGGTTGCCACTAGCTAGGCCTTTTAAAATGACACGCAACAGGCTCCCTTGAGGCACACGGCTCCTGGAGGTGAGTCACCRGGAGCACATAGAGAGGAGTTTAAGGTAGACATTTCTTCTCAAAAAGTCCTGAGCAGACTGAAGTCATGCCTAATTCGGAGTGAGCTCAAAATGCCCCATGTCTCTGGCCCAGTTTCTCTCTCCTTCTAGTACAAAATGAACACAGAACCAGAAAGTCAAAGATTCTGAGTGTCTTRGGTTCCCTGAGGGTATTAAGGAGATAACATCCGTTCGTCATGAGCTAGGCCACTGTTGCACTCCGCTGTCCAGTACTGCTCAGGACTGAATGCTACTCAGTGGGACCCATGCAACAGGATTTTTAARTAGCCAGATTTGGGGAAACACACATAAAGAGGAAGCCTTGCCCTGTTCTATTATCAGTTTCTTTTTTATTTGTAGAAARAAGGGTTTTTTTTGTTTTTTTATTTTATTTTATTTTATTTTCACCTTCATATTTCTAACAAGCGGTTCCTGGTGTAACATCTAGATAATTACTCAGTTAAAAAACAACAACAACAACAACAACTATTGTTGGGCTAAGGTAGAGCTCCTGCTAGCACATGTGAGGCACTGGGCTCAATCCTCAGCACCACATAAAAATAAATGAATAAAAATGAATAAAAGAAAAGTATTGTACCCATCTACAAATATATATATATATATATATATATAYACAMAWATAYAMAWATATATATATATATTATATATATAATATATATATATAAACTATTGTGAAAATATTCTGATCTCTTTGGTGAATCTTTGTTTTGTTCACAGAAAAAAACTCCAGGACCTCCCTTTGGCACTCGCATTTGGAAGGGGCTTTGCATTGGGTCTCAACAGCTAATGAGTGCCCCAGCACCTGTTCTCAAGGTCCCTGATGTACTACAGATACGCCAGTTCATCCAGCATGAGGTTATAAAGGATGAAGTGAAACTGAGGCTGCAGATTTCCCTTAAGGTAATATAATCCAGGTAATTTGACCCAAAAAAAGAATTAGGAACAAGGTAATCATTCCTCTTGGCTTCCTGAGGAACCTGAAATTACCTAATTCTACCAATATTTATTTAGTGCAATGGAATGTCAATCTTCTGAGTAGAATTTTGAGAGGCAGATACTTAATGATTCCCCTAAGGTGGAGGAATCATTAAGAGAGGCCCCAAAGACACTGAAAAGATAAGAAACTTTCATAGGTGATTGCTACATAGAGTCCTCTTACTGTACAGAAAACTAGTCTAGCAACATATGGGAAAAAAAAGAGCCACCTGTTAATCTGGTRCTTGTCCATGGATGGAAAGTATTGTTGCTTTGGAGGTGGTCTAAGAATTTGTAAATATATAATTAAGTGTATGATCATATCCTTAACATCTGACTTTATAGCTTAACTCCCTCAGAACAGAGATCATATGTGTTTTGTTTATGGCTATATGCCCAGCACCAGCAATGGAGCGGAGGATCATTATTTGCAAAAATGGATCAAATATTCACAGAAAAAGTAAATTATACTTCCCTTGGAAGCAAAAGCATGAGCAAAGCAACTTACATTTATAGATAGATTCTTAAAGATTTTACCTGAAAAATCTTCCCATCTGCTCTAAATCACAGAGATAAAAAGAGGACACCTCTGAGCTCACCATGCAGTTCTACCCTATCCTTAAAGTTTTTCTCTTGGACCTTGTAGGTCTTTGCTTATTAAACTACTAAAAAAAAAAAAAAAAAAAAAGGCTTTTCAGATTGCTTGACTAGTAACTGCTTGTTAAGCATTGTGAATTTATCTATGGTTAATCTTTTTGTAATATTTGGAGCAGATGTTGACCATGTTGGTATCTCTCTCTACCCTATTCCTTATTTTTATTTATTTATTTTATTCTACTGATTTAGGACTACATAAACCACATTCTAAAGAAAGAAGATGAGCTACAGGAAATGACGGTCAAGGATTCCAGAACTGAGGAGGAGAGGGGCAATGCTGCAGATCTCCTCAAGCTAGTTATGGTGAGAAAATGTTTTATAGACCAATGTTTTTATTACTTTTTCAGTATTAGATCCTTCCAGACAAACATCATGAGGAATTGCTGTATACTGTTTCTACCACTTCTGTAAAGCATTTGCCTTCCTCCTTGTAGTTCCTTATTTCTGTGGAAATCTTATTCTTTATCTGTTGATTTTTCCCAATRCATTTTGGSTTCTTCCTAATCAACATCTCTGAAGATATTAATTGAAACATTGACTGAAGTAATAAATGAAACCTGAAGGATTAATAAAAAAATAATTTATGTAAATTAAAAAATGATTTCTATTTTCATAAATTTGTTTATGTAAATGACCCAAAAATCAAATTTTATATTGGTATTAAAAATTATTTTATAGTGATTTCTATAACAAATCAATCTGAGCTCAAAAATAATGCTTCTAAACAAAGTGAATTTTGTATGTAATATAATCATCATCAAGTAATTCTGTCTTCATTTCAGTCTTTCCCTAAAATTGAGGAAACTACAAAAAGTCATGCTGATGAAGGTAACTTGGTATTTAATATTTTTCTGTGATATATTTACCAATTTCAGATGAATAACCTTAAATACAGTTATTAGTTATTCTTTCATTTGATAGCAAAGTCTCACATACACTCACCTACGTTCCCATGTTGGCCATRTTGTGTTGTAATGTTTTTTGTGTGTTATGTTTTATTCTGCTCAAATTAAGAGCTCTTTGAAAACCATAATTGCTTCCAATTCATCTGTAATTTTCACCTATTGAATGAAACACATTGACATTTGTTTGACTTTTATGTTAAACACAACTATTTAGAACATAACTAAGATATTATAGGAAGGAAACAACCAGCATCCACTACTCACCCCCATACCTGTACACAGAATTTTTGAACAACTATACAATTATTACCAAAACCTTGTACTAGTCTACACAGGAACAGTTTACTCTTAGAAGGCCTTCCCATTTAAAGTGTATTACACACAAACTCCAACAAATTTGCTTAGTTTGTGTGTGGAGCAAGGTGTGCTGCTACTTCACTGAGGTGAGCTCAGCATTGGATCTCTCTGCTTTGAACTTTTGGTGCCCCAGTAGAACACAAGCACCTCCCTCACTGACAAGCAGTATTCTCACTGCTTGAATCCCAGACCATGGAGCAAACTTCCCCTAATACTCCATCTTGAACCTCCAACAAATCTGGTTGTATGGTTTTGCAGTTCACAGCAAACAAGCAGTGGAGAATTACGTGGATTTGGTTTTGTTTTGGTTTTTGTTTRTGGTTTTCAGCCGTGTGAACTAGCAGACATGGGCAGACATGCTTCATGTATCATCCCCAGTGTTGGATTATATATGTATTTTTAATGGTGTTCTGRTTAATCTAGGTTTTTCCTCTCTTTGAAGCATCATATTAACACAGTTATATTTGGCTGAAGGTGATTATCAACTGTCCCTTCAGAATGACCATCACAAAAGAACCCATCACAACCCCTAATACTCTGTGTCCTTACACTTTACCATCACTTTTTTACTGGATGGCCCTGTAGTGGAGTTATAAGATTTAGTGAATACAAATACAAAAGACTAAAACTAAAACTAAATTTTAGATAAATAATAGTTAATTTTTTTTAGTATAAGTATGTCCCTGATATAGCCTGAGACATACTTAAACTAAAAAAAAAATTTTCATTTATCTGAAATTCAAATTTAATGAGGTGCCCTATACTTTATCTGACAGCCTTACCCTCAGGCATTCAAACTTATAACCTTCACTTATAACAAGTGAACAGGCAAAATAAAAGGAAACACACAACTCACCCAATAACAAGGGACAAACTAAATATATTTTTTGAACTTATCCAACAGGCAAACAGCCTCCTGCATACTTGGGGTAATTCCTAAAAGCTAGTCTATGCGGTGGCTCCACTAAAAATGAGTTTTATGATAAAATCAATTTGGATAATGCTGTATATTATCTTAGTTTCTTGGAAAGTCACAATGTACATTAACTAATTAAGGATGCAGAAAAATCTTACGAAACATATTTAGCCTTGCATAAGTCAATTTTTCCTAAGCTCATAGAATCATGGAGCATGGCAACTTTTTTTAAATTCTCCTGTGGACATCCCCCCAAGACCGTGTTATATGAATAAACTCAAAACAATCACTCCCCAAATTACCCGACAACCATTGTATTATATTTAGGTCCTTWTATTCAGGGAGCAGTTCCATGTTTAGAAAAGTAGTTCAGTATGATGGTTAATTTGTTTTCAGGTTTGCCATTTTAGACATGAGCGAATTCAGTTGAGTGGAACACAGATTCCCTAATGATATGGAAAAAAAAAAAAAAAACGAGGTATCACTGCATTTAACATTTTGACTAAAAGATGAGTGTTCGCCACCACAACCCTTCAATGAAGTAGTCTGGTTTACTGTTATGTCACAGCTTGGTCAAGGAAATTTTGGTAAATCCTTGATAGTTTCTTAAAAACATCTCAAATTAGTAAGTGGCTACTGATTGTGTGTTGTACTATGGAGAAGTAGGAATAAATGTTCAATGCATGTATTTTTAAAGTTGCAGCCCATCTAACTGATTTATTCAAGCAATCGTTGGCTTCTACTGTAAAACGTCCACCGGATACATTTGGTAAAGATTTATTTGGAAAGAAATGGAGGTAAGCTAATAATATTTTCTAATTAGTGTTAGGCATACAGTGATTGAGGAAATGGAAAGACAAGGGTCACATCCATGGGTGAACATGTTGATGAATCACAGCCCTTTGTCGGCCCCRGTGTTAACTCTTCATACAGTGCTGGTTCTTCTTTTATTGTTTGTAAGCTGTATAAATCCCTTGTCATTATTGAAAGGTGAGTGATGCACCTGAGATGGAGATTCAACCAAGAGATTTTATTGGGGGGCTGCCCAAAGGAAAGGAGAGGCAGAGAGCAGAAAGAGGAGAGAAAGAAGAGGAAGAGGGCAGAGAAGAAGAGAGGAAGAGAGGAAGAGGGCAGAGAGCGAGAGCTCACAAGCTTGGGCCTAAGAAAGGATGTATAGGTGACATGGCAGGTGCTGATTGGCAGGGTGACTCAGGAACAGTGATCAGACACTGTGTCCAGGGGGGACTAGTTGAGAAAACCTTTGAATTTGGCGCTCTTCAGCTTGGTGTCCTTCGGAGAGGAGGGGGAAGGGGAAGGGATTCCATGATGTTCTCGTGAGAAGGGGGAGTCTCCCACACACCCAACAATTATACTTTTTTTCTTCATTTCACATAGGAACACAGAATCAGAAAAACGCTGGAAAGAAAAGATAGCACAAAAAAGGTAATTCTTCCTTGCAGTCTAAACAAACGTGAAAAAAAAGGCCAGGGTCACAGAATCCTAGAGTTGGAGAGGCGACAAGGTCCTACTGGCCAGGTCTCCAGCTGTTGTTTGACTCCTTTTCTACAACATTTCTGCCAAGGTGGCATTCAGCTTCCATGTAGTGATGCCACACTCTTTGAGGAAGCCCACGTGGCCATTCAGAACCTCCTCTCCCGRGCTAGAAAGCTCTCAAGGCACTCCGTGCATTCAGCAGTTCTAATACATTTGTAAATATTGTGGGACTCCATGCAGAGCATGGTCACCAACATTCAAGGGTCCCTGTCATTTACCCAAGGCATGTTCTATCAGCATTATAGGGTCTGATTTCCTTTGCATTTCAGCTTAAGATTTCAACTCCAGATCTCTTGCCATAAGGGTAGCACATGTGGCAGTATTGGACGCACTTGCAAGGTTTCTCTTCATAATGRCTCCTAAGATGAATGTGCTCCTTCATTAAAATGTCACTGTGTGGGGGAAGTGACAAGATCTCAAATCTCCTGGCTCACACYCAGGGATAAGGTCCAGCTAGAAGGTATACATACATGTGTATCATAGAGGAAAACTGTCTTTCGCTCTACCCATCCTAGGTCCTTGGCACAGGTCCCTATAACAAAAGACAGATTTATCAGAGAAAAGCACGCAAAATTTCAGTTTTATATGACATGGGAYGTTCATAAGGAAATGAAGACCCCAAAGAAAAGGTTCAACCTATGTATTTGCTTGCTAGTATTGATGAAGAATGGAGGACCCTGGGCRTGTATGGTGGGACCAACTGTATGAGCTGATGGAAACAAACTGGGAGAAACTTACCTAGGCCTCTTCATTCCTATGTCCCTGTCTCCAGAGATAGGGATGCTCCTTGCCTATGGACACAAGGAGCCTGGTGGTCTGCTTCAAAGAAAGGTCAGAAAATCCAGGTTTTATGACCTTGAAACTATATTGAAAAGATTGGTGCAGTGACTGCCTGTGGGGAAAGAGACTGGAGGTCAGGAGGTAGTGTGAAATGGAGACTTCCTCTTTATTACATACTATTTGATGCCTTTTGAATTATGTACATAATCATGTGTTTTCTCATTTCTTTAAATTTTGAAACATTTTAACATTCAAGCTTGATTTGTGAGCAGTGGCAAGCCAGTGAAAGCAAACACGCAGTTGAAGAAGCATCATGGAAAGAAAAAGTGTGGGCAACATGGAAATAATTGAGTGTAGGAAGGAGAAAGTTTCAAGGAAATGGAAGGTGGTCAACAAATATCTGATGCAAATTGGAGAAGAATAAAAAAGTGCAAATTAAAAAAGAAACTTGGGCTTATCCCAGTGGGAGTTTATTGCTTCTTTTGTGAGCACAGCTTTAAGACAGTGGTARGCAATAGCCAGATCCAGTGAGATCAGAGAGCTAAACCACTTTTAATGCTAATCTAAAGTTCTTTAAATAAGATGATATGTCAAGCATACCTGCCCAGTGTTCCCAGGGATGCTGTCTTGTAGAAGAGCACTGGYCTTAGCGTCAGTGTATCTGGAGTCAGTTACAGTTTGATTACTTACAGACTGTATGATGCTGGATGGTTGTGTCACATCAGTAAAACTTTCTCAGGAATTCAGTTTGCTTATCTGTAAACTATGAGCATGGATACACTGCCAGAGATCTAAAGTTCCTTTCAGTCCCTGGGTGACTGACAGCCAGCGAGTACCTGCAGTGCGAAGATCTGGGCTCCGAGACAAACAACCCGGTTTTAATTGAGACGCCACCCTTTCTTAGTTACATGGTTTGGAATAGATAACTGAGCCTCTCTACACCTTTATTTTCTGACCTGTAAAATGGGGATCATAAGACTTGCTCAGTGATCGTCTACATCTCATCAGTCTTCCCAAGGTACTGCCTCCCCACTAGAGGGATTCTGGTGTCGAAAAGGCAACTAGCAGAATTATCCCGATTGCTTTTACTTAACTTTGTAACTGCTCACCACATTATTCTTAAACCATTCCTCAGGTTTGGTTTGGTTTCTTTATTACCATTGCTAAAATTATGAGAACCAGTAGATTCTAGCTGTCTTTAAATTTCAGAGAACCCACAAAAGTTCAACCATCATAGGACTACATGGGTTTCAGTCATTTGAGATCAACTGTGAAGTCAAACTAACATCTGGTATGATTATTCCCTATCTTATATGAGAGTTTGATTCCCAAAGCAGAAAGTGTGACTAACTGCAAAAGAAGCAGAAAATAAACCAAAACAAGTGGACCAAAAAAAAAAAAAAAATGCCCAATGAGCTAATTCTTATCGTTTTTCCTGTCAGTGATTGCATTGATTTTCTGTGGAATTTAGAGCTAAAAGTGCAAGCAAATAAACTTTTCAAATGTTCTTTTTTTTTTTTGCATCATTATGGAAACATCAACCAGGAAAGAAACTGAGGAAACACAAAATTATTTAATGGAAATCAGGAACAAAATAATACCACCTTATTTCAAATCTGAATTCAGCCAGTCATATCAGTCTCAGGTAATTGAATATAATTAATGAAAACTGTCTTTGTAAAAATTGATATATTGTAAATGCTAATATGTAAACTACAGCATCAACCTAACTAATCTGTGCCCTTCAAATCCATATTCTCACAAGAACATGATAGGAAAGACTAGTTTCTGGTCTTCTTCCAATGGTTGAAGTACTCTACCAACATATTACTGTTAACCCCCCTCCCCCCCCCGCCTTCTATTCTAGCCATAAATTACATTTTCCCATCTAATTGAAGTTCTCTGTGTGTATTTGTGTGTGTGTGTGTGTGTGTGTGTGTGTGTGTGTGTGTGTTGCTGGGGATTGAACGCAGGGCTTTGTACATTCAAGGCAAATACTCTACCAACCAAGCTATATCCCCAGCCCTAAAGTTCTTTTTGAGGCTGAGTCTCCCTGTCAATGATTGTCCTCTGATCAATCCATTTTGAAATTCCTTTTTTTTTTTCCATTAAAATTTTCTCACACACCAACTGCTAAGATAGCACTAAAATACTGTGAGTTCTTGGAAGCCCYAGAAGCAGAATGCTCCCCTCTTCTATATGAGTTCACACCTGAGCCTTAGAGCCAGGCTTCCTCTGAATGCYCAGGAGTTCGCTGAAACCTAAAGCACAGGGAATATTTTCACGTGTTCAGGACACCCAGCATTWCTCAGAATTTCCTGATGCTATTGGTAACAAGAGACCGTCTGAGAAGAAATTACAGAAAATATGACCAACTAACCAAAGCGAGAATTCAGTTAATCARTCTCTTGAAGAACTTTTAGTTTGTAAATTTTATTTTCAGGGCCTTAAAAATATGCTTTCATCATTACTTATTGGTTTAACATATTTGTGGCATTTGCCTTTCACCATATTTGAGTCAATACTAAGTCTTTTGGTTTTTCCTTGAAGTATAATTATCTGGAGAGTCTTTCTAAAAAACTGCCCAATTTTATAAGGAAAGATGAAGAAAATAGAAGCAAAACAGCTGTTGAAGATACATCTGATCATCRTTTAGGTAATACATTAGTATAGTTCTTATTTATATTAAACCCTACTTAATAATACCTCTTGGAACATAGTTCATAGCACCTTTTGTCTTGGTGGTAATGAACACAACCTACTAGGACCTGCATATTACAGATTTGATGGAGTTATATGAGGAAACCAAGATGTAAATAAAATTTAGTTTTCATTCTCTGTATTTCAAATCATCTGAAAGTATTTAGAAGACTTGGCTAATTTTTTTAAAAAAAGGAATATTGAAAATTGTTGGGAAACACGGCATTCACATGGTCACTAAACAGCAACTCACATATACTAATTACAGTGAGTAAAATATAACCTTACAATTGAAGTTGTGGCATTTTTCACCTCAACTAAATATGCTAATTTCTACCAATAGTGGAACAACTTCACATTAGGTGCTTTCTCATGTGATGTGATATAAAGTGCATATGGAATTCATGTCGAAAATCCTTAAATTGAATCTAATCAAAAGGAAACAATCAGACAGATGTCTACCAGAATGTAGATATTCTATAAGACAATTGACCTGGGCTCTTTGTAAAAAAGGGCAATTATTCTAGCTTAATAAATAGTACATGTAACACATGAACTTTGGATCTTGGATTATTAAAAAAAATAGCTGTAAAAGACATTTTAGAGAAACTGCACAAGTTTGACTACGACACTTTAGAGGTCGTTGTGAAATCATTATTGATTTCTTAGGTGTAACAGTGGTGTGGATATGTAGGAGAATGTCCATATTCTCAGGAGAGGCAGGCTGAAGAATTTGGGGATGAAATGAAACTTAATGCTTCTCTTTGATAAACTTAAGTATTTTAAACACCCAGATGATAGTTTTGCACAGCCTAAAGGAAACATCTAGTTGCAAACAGAGTTTGCAAATCCRAGATTAAGGCTGAAACAATGACCTTTAAATGTGACAAGGACAAGTCAGGCATGACAGGTTGATGGTACTTGTGTTACCAGTCAGACCTGCTGCACCCCAGGCAGGTAACAGCGATAATCAGAGGAAGGATAAACAGTGAAAGGAGGAGAGGCTGCAACCTGGTCCGCACACACACAAGTTAGAGAGTGTTTGCCTGCCCTGTCCTGGATATATTTCTTCAAAATTTATTTCATATGACACCCATTTCTTAAAGATGTATATTTTCATAAAGAACTACATTTTCAGAAGTAATGAATGGATTTAAGAATAGAAAACTATTTTTGAAAGTTACCTAATAGTGATTACCAGGTAAAGTAGAGACAGATTACTTGGTCTGTTCATAATTCAAGGAGGTGACAAACTCTACTATTTGGTCTTAATGTCCACAAAGAACTAGCCAGCCCTCAGGGAGTGTGAACTCAGTACCTACCATCCTGTTTGTTAATGGCAAACGTTGAATCACATTGGGAGGAATCTCTGCCTCTTAAATTCAGTCTTTCTCAGTGCAGGGAGGGCATAGAACCTGTTTGTGGTACAACATGTTGTTTGATGTTTATTCATATAAGTATAGTAGTCATCATATCATTGCACAAAATAACACTTTATAATGTTTGTTTGGGTTTTTTTAGATTCCAAGCCACCTACAGTCTCAGAAAAGGAATCCCCAAATATGCAAAAATCAGAGATTTTGGAGGACACTGCAAAGTCAACTAGCCAGAACCAAACTGAAAATTTAACAAAATCTACTGAAGGTATGGCAGTATTATCTCGTTGATTTTCAAAACTGAACATTATAACTTTTTGGAGTATTGCAGATGGTGCTGGGGGATGGGGTTTGGTTGGCAGTTATAGGAAAAAGTTCCAGAGGGTCATGGATCCTGGAGCTAGGAAGATTAGGCCTCTTAGCACATCAAAATATCTCAAAAAATATTTTGAGAATGACTGTAAGTCCCAGATCAGAGGGAAGAAATTTACAAATGCTTTTTTTAGATTTGTTATTTTATTTCTTTATTTTATTTTATCCCTCATGGTTCTGACAGCTTATGTGATTTGTTAAGGGCAAAACACCTGGTAGCTTCTTGAGTAGCCAATAACCTGGTGGTTGGACCTAGGTTTATTTATTATTTTGATTTTTTGGTGGGAGAAGGGGACTCCTCAAGTGCTAGAAGAGAATCATAAGATGTAGTCTCTTACACAGCATGTAATCTTATTGGAGAGCACAAATTGAAATACGGAACACTAGAAAATAATGTCTAGTTACAATGGAGTCACATTATATTGACTTCACTGGAGTTAACTAAATATGGTTACTCAAAAGAGGGAAAGAGAAAGAGACTAGTTAAACTTTTTGAGATAGTTTTGCTAATGCTTGATTCCTATGGACATTCTTCTCTCTGAATGTGAGAATCTGCTTATGGGTCTCAGTTATCTTTTATAAAAAAAGTGTTTTGCCAGATTTAGGTGAATTAAGAGAGTTGACCTACATGAGATTTTTGCCTTCCTGGCTTCAAACTTTTGTAAGTTTTACTCATTGAGTGGATAATTCTCAATGCATTCTATGCCAGGCCTTGTTCTAGGCATAAAAATATAACATTCAGATGCCAAAGTCTTATAGAGCCAATGCACTATGGGCAAACCTCAACAATAAGTAAGCAAACAAATAAGTCAGATAAGATCATATTATAATAAATATTATGACAGAATATAACAGTATAATGTACGGAGGGTGACTTGGGGAGAGGAGCAAAATTCCATTGGGAGATTGGAAGGCCTCTGTGTGAAGGGACATTTGAGCAGAGGCAAGAACCAGGAGTAAGCCAGGCGAAGGTTAGGGAAGAAGAACATTGTGGGGAACAGCAAATATGAAGACCACAGGGGAAGGAACTAAAAATGACATATACTTAGACTATAATGAGCAAAGGAAGAAGTTGAAGCATGTGCAATCAGAGAGATGAGATCATGTAATGCTGCACASGGGCTCTTCAGTTGTATTCTAAGCGTGATTTTATTCAGACAGCACTGTAAAATTTTGAGCCAGGGGTAATGTGGCTAATRTTAAAGACCACTCTGATATTTGTGAAGGATAAGTTTGGGGCAGGGAAGGGAAAGAGTGGGAAAAAGCTGGAAGCAGGGGAAAAGCAACAGAAGTCCTTACAGGTGGAAATTGCCAAAGACCTGGACTAAGTGGGTTAAGGTGCAGACAGTGAGAATCAAATTAATTGGAAACATATCATGAAGGTGGACCCAATAGGATTTATGGTCAATTGATGTGGGTATAAGAAAAAAGAATTTAGACATCCAGGCTGATTTCTAAGTTAACTTGTGTGACCAGTTATGAGGCTAAGTTAGTTAAGATATCTGACACCGACAACTTGAGAGGAAAGATTTATTTTGGCTCATGGCTTCAGAGCTTTCAGTCCTTGGTCGGCTGGCTCTATTTTGAGGGCCTGCGTTTAGGCAGAAAATCGTGGTGGAAGGGCGTGGTGGAGAAAAGGTGCACACGTCATGAAAGCTGGGAAGCAGAGCGAGGAAGAGAAAGGACTGGGATCAACAAACACCTTTCCAGGTCACACCCCCAGTGACCTACTTCCTTCAACCAGGGTTCCACTGCCTCCCAATAACCCAGTCAGCTGTCAATGGATCAATCCATTGATGGGGTCTTCACAATCCAATCACTTCCTAAAAGCCCTACTCCTGAACTTTGCTGCATTGGGGACCAAGAATTCAACACAGGAATCTTTGGGGGAAAAATTCATATCCAAGTCATAAAAGAAACCAAGAGATGATTTTTAAATATATGCTTACTAGGGTACAATGATAACTTGATAGCAAAGGAGAAGTTAATGATGCAGGAGAAGGAGGTACCTAAGGAAGGTGAGAGAACATGGCATCTGGATAAAACCCAGAGGGGCAGAGTTGACCTTGGATAAATAGGGTCACCTCATGCATAATGACAGTCCATAAGAGAGAGACAAATACATATGTTTTGGATTGATAGGTTTGGTATTTGGAAAGTGAAAGAGTTCCTGTTTGATTTCAAAGGAGTGGGGGTAATTCTAGTGTAAAAATAAAATAAGAAAGACTGATTGTGGAAGGTTGGACTCCTCATTCTCTCTCTATTTTTTAATACTATATTTTATGTGCAAGGAAGAGAAAAAAAGTACCAAAGAATGTCATGTCAGCACTAAAAAATGTTCAGATTTTGTAGAATTGTGAATTTCAGATTTTGGATTACAGATGCCAAATCTGTATTATGTTAAAAGACAAAAGATGAGTGCATTCAAAAGCTTGAAGGCAGCAATGAACAGGAAAACAGCCTAAGTAAATGGGAGATTTTTTTTTTTTTTTTTTGATATTTGGTTCTAGTACAAGATAAGTAGAATAAAGTCAGAGGAGTTTGGAATATGCGAAATAAAATGGATGTTCACCGATATTGGCTGTGATAATACTTCATGAAAAGGTCCCCAAATTCTGAAGTGTCTGAAAACAGTCAGTCTTTGGGCCTGTGGACTACTGAGGCAGCTCTGCTTCAGGCTGCAGGCAGGGTGTGCTGGGGACAGTTCCCTGGCTCCTAGGGTCCCAACAACGTGCTCTGTGTTATGACATTGAAAACTTGAGTCAGTCATGGTGAGAAATCAGCAAATGCTACAAATGCGCAAGTTATACAAACCAGGGCAGGTCCCCCAGAGAAATGGCTGTTAAACACTTAGCACATCACTGGCTGCAGGTGAAGTTCTGATATATTCCAAGGGTGYCCCCACTGAAAGAGCCCCCACCATTTGGAAAAGCTGTCCTCAAGGCTGAGGGTCAAAGTTTAGAGAGGTAAGGAGAAATGTGTGCTGCCCCTCCTAGCTTCTGCTCAGAACTGGCACACTGCCATCCACACACTCATTTGTTGGTCAAAGCAAAAAGTCCTGTGGCCAAGTTCACAATTAATGGGGCAGAGAAATATACTCCACCTATAAGGAAGCCTTGCTCAGAGAGAAGTGAATTATTATGCGTAAGTAATACAATATGCCTTAACATGGTAACAGAAACCCTACAGCTTCATCAGTTGGGTCATGCTCTGCCTCAGTATTCAGATGATATATGCACGACTAGCAAAGACCTACCAGTTGTTCAACTATTAACAACTCTATCAGCCAATGAGCAGTCACTGCTTCAATACCCATCCCTGCATCTTTCTAGTCTCTGGTGAAGCCCTGAGTAGGCTCAGTGGAATAATAATCAGTCTGCTTTATGGGATGCAGCACAATATAGAGCAGGGATATGGTCTGGGCTCTACCTGAATTCAAGCCTGCCTCCTTATATAATTTCTATGCAATATTGGGCATACTGTTTAACTGCACTCTCTCTCCTCTCTCTCTCTCTCTCTCTCTCTCCTTCTCTCTCTCTCTCTCTTTCTCTCTCTCTCTGTCTCTCTTGCATTTCATCTTCTGTATTGGGAAAGTAATGATATACACATGGGTATATACATGGAAGGGTTGAAGGATGAAATTAGTAAATATATGTAAAATGCTTAGAGCAATATTTGACAAATAATGAACTTCATATCTGCATCTACTATTAGTAATAATAGTGTGAGCAAATAATTGGATTGTTGAAATTCATTCACAAAAAAATAATATGAAACATATTTTGTACAGAACAAATACGCTAAAGATACATCAAGCCATTTGAATGGTTGCCTTTGTAGGAAATGGTGACCAAAAAGTATAAAGACATTAGAACATTGACCATTGAGGTCCATCCCCAGAGATTCTGCTTCTGTTTTGGTTGGGAACAGGGCCCATCTAGCCTGAGGCCCAGGAATCTATTTTTCTAGAAGCAACCCAGGAGATGATGGTGGAGATAGGTTTGGGCCATGTTGAGATTCACCGTCCAGTTCTGACCTTTATTATCATTTCTGGGACAAGTTATTTAGTCCTCTGACCTTCAGTTGCCCTCATCTTTAAAAAAGTGATACTGCTATTGTATTAACTAGAGCTTTTTCATTTTAAAGTGAACTTAAATTCACTTAATCAAAGGGGACTGATGGTGGATTTATTGGTGCTCAAATGCAAACTACAGAAGAGTAGCTCTGGTGCCAGCACCCTGTATGTTTGGACCTGGGCTCTCTGGCTTTCCATGAATATATGTCAGATTGCCCCTTTCTCTCCMCTTCCTCCCTGCCTCCATCTCGCCCCATCCCTATGCATCTGGATTTTTTTTTCTTTTTTCTTTCCAACAGAGGACAGGCCATTCCTATATGGCAGGGATCTAGAGGCCCAAGATCCCAATACTTCCATATCCATAAACCAGAAGGAAAGATGAGGTCAATGATGATGTGAAATCCAATTCTTAGTTCAACCTCCTGAATAGCTGGAGCCATCTAAGCAGCGGCAGCTGTGTGAATTATCTACTTTAGCTCACTCCTTCCTGTAGCTGAGGAAAAGAACAAGTTGCCAAACTTAGAGAGCTGACGATTTAATTTCCTGCCTTAATTGATCTGTAATTGCTTCATCACTTTTTAGAACTATAAATACTGTAGTAGCACCAAAGAAATTTATCTTAAGACTTTGTACTCATTGATTTTAAGAAATCTTTCAGAGTCGGTATTTTTCTTGTGCTATGCCTGTTGGTTTAGTTGAAAGGACCCCCAAAGACCCAGGCTTAAGTTTAGTTCCTCAGAGGCAAGTTACTTGACTTCTTAGAATTTTATTTTTAAAAAGAGATGCTTAACAGCATCTTTCATGTCTATCTTATGGGACTGTTGTGAAGGACCAGTGTTAAGTCATCCATGTAAAATGACTTAGTAAAATGTAATGAGAATCAAGAGAAACCTTTCTTTAAATAAGTTATTTAAGAAAAAGAGTTTCCAAAGTTGGTTTATGTTCTTATCTACTTCAAATTCTTAGAAATGTCCAGGTGGCGTAATTTAAACTTCTTCTCTAACAGAATTAGAATCTTATACACCTGTGAAAATTCCAACCCAATCATTGCTGCAGGATGCTGCGGGACAAGCAAGGAAAGAAAAAGTGAAGTTACCTCATTATTTGATGAGTTCCAAACCCAAATCTCAACCTCTTACAAAGGTAAACCAGACACGGGGACAAATTTCCCAGGATCAATCAGCATTTTAGGTAATTCTGATTGGTTCCAGTTGTTACTTTCAGCCACTGTGTCCTGCTATGTACCCCATCTTACCATGAGAACCATTAGTTGTAGACATAAACTAAGGCAGTGTTTTGCTAGATCTGGCTCATACATTCTCATAAGACAAGTTAAAAAAAAACAGTTGTTAAATTACTAGTAGCTGAAATCAGTTGTACTGGGAATACTCTCTTTGGGGACAACCAGTTTACTGCACACTGCTGGCTAAAGGGATCATTGGCTACYCTTCTCGTGACTCAGAATAAAATTCAAATAACTTAGATGAGTACTAAGGCATGGTCTATTTGCTTCTTTACCCTCACAATCCCTCAAATTCACTTTACTTCACCATGTGGACTTCTCTTGGTTTCTTAGAACCACCAACCTCCTTCTTTACTTTCATCCTGTAAGATTAATTTTCTACCCAGCTCTAATAGGATGTCTTTAAGCTTACTAGTCAAGTTTGTTTGTGGGTTTTTTTGTTTGTTTGTTTCTTTTTTTTTTTTTAGTTGTGGATGGACACAATACCTTTGCTTTATTTATTTATTTTTATGTGGTACTGAGGATCAAATCCAATGCTTCACACATGCTAGGCAAGCACTCTACCACTGAGCTACMACCCCAGCTCACTAATCAAGTTCTAACAATTTTCATTTCTTTATTTCCATGGCACACCATGGTCATTGCCATCACAGAATATATTGCAATGCATATAACTGATAGGAGTTTCCCAAACTTTAGTTGGCATATGAATTACCTGGGGGCTCTTGTTAAAGATATAGATACTGACTCACTAGATCTTAATGTGGGGCCTGAAATGCTACAGTCCTAACAAACTCTCAGGAGATGTCATGCTGTTGACCTGGGAACTAACAAGGCATAGACCAGTGGTGCTCTGTGCAATTACCTGAACAGCACATTAGCCACACCTGCAAATGTGTACAAATGCAAATTCTTCATTTCACTCCAGACACACAGAATGAGAAACTCTGGGAGTGGGGTCAACAGTTTTTTCTTAATGAGTCCACCAGGAGACTGAGAGGAGCTGACATTTGTGAGGCCTGGCACAGAGGAAAGAGCACAGACTTTAGAATCATACAAACCTAAGTTTAAAACATCACCACTTAACACTTGAGCAAATTATCTTTCAGTTCTATGAAAAAAATAAACAAAATAATTATTCTTGTAGGGATATTACAAAGATTTGAGGAGCCTCCATAAATCTTCGTTTCTTCCCCCAGCAAAGCAGTTATTTTCCTCTGGTAGCAGGGATAAGAAAAATCTTGGAAACACCAGAGAAAACCATTTTATTAATTTTTCCTTGCTGCAAAGGTTCAAGATTCTGTTGGAGGAAAAGTGTATACATCCTCTATTGCATCTGCTGCCATTAATAATATAAAGTCATCCCCTTTTGGGTTCCATCTTCTCCCACCATCAGTGAAATTTGGAGTGCTTCAAGAAGGACATACCTATGCAACCACTGTAAAGCTCAAGAACATTGGCGTGGACTTCTGCAGGTGAGGCCAAGGCACCAAGTGCCCTGTGCTGGCACTTGTCTGTCTTACTACATCAGGCAACATTGACTGAACTGTAACTGTGCCTTGAATCTTGACTCTTGACATTTTCATTCAATCATTTACTCACTGATTGATCCATCCATCCATTCATTCATTCTTCAACAAATCAGTGTTTACCAAGATTCAACTGCATGGTAGTTGCTCTCTATTAATCTTTATCCATACTTGGAAGCAACTCAAGTCCTGATCTACCCTAGCCAAAAAAAAAAAAAAAAGTTATACAAGTGTTTCAATAACTACTATGCATTACTTGAAATTTCATTTCTCAATCACCAGCTATAATGTGTGAGTTAATATTTGTTTGCACTTGATATAAAATGTATATATTTAAAAATATAATGTATGGGACACATATAAATAGTAAAATGAAAAAAAACAGTGAAGCAAATTAACATATCCATCATCTCACATAGTTAACCTTATTTTTGTTTGTGGCAAGAGTAACTAAAATATACTCATTTAGCATGAATCCTGTATATAGTATGATTACCTATAATCCTCATGGTGCACTTTGGATCACTAGATTTGTTAATCCCACATATCTGCTCCTTTGTATCCTCTGCCTACGTCTCCCCTTATCCCTCATTTCAGTCCTTGCTAACCTCTTATTTTCTATCATCGTACATTTGTGTTTTTTCTTTTCCAGGTTCCGCATATAAGTGAGACGATGCACTCTTTTTCCTTCTATGTCTGACTTCTTTCACTTAGCATAATGTCCTCTGGTTCATCTATGTTGTGGCAAATTGCAAGATCTCATTCTTTCCTAGGGCTGAATAATATTCCATTGTACCACAGTTTCTTTAACCGTTATTAGTCAGTGGATACTTGGGTTATTTTTATATCTTAGCTATTGTGAATAATGCTGCAGTGAATGTGGAGGTGTTCATTCCCATGTTTATGGGGTGGTGATTTCATCTGCTTTAGGTATTTGTCCAGAAGCAGGATTATTGGGTTTTCCAGTAGCTCTGATTTTAATTTCCTTAGCAGCATCCATACTGTTCACGATGGCTGTACTAGTCTGCATTCCCACCAGTCGTATAACATTTTCCTTTTCTCCACACCCTAACTAACACTTGTTGTCTTTCAACCTTTTGATAATAGTCATCCTGACAGGTGTGAGGTAATATTTAATAATGGCTTTGATCTGCATTTCCCTGATGATGAATGAAGTTGGGCATTTTTTCATTTCATGGTTGACTATTTTTGTATCTTCTTTAAAAAAATGTGTATCCAAGTCTTTTGCCCATTTTATGATCATGTTATTAGTTTTTTTCCACTGTTGAGTTGTATGAGCTATTAATCTGGGATATTAATCTCTCACCAGATGCATGGTTTGCAGATATTTCTTCCCAGTCTGTTAGAATCCATTTCCAATGCCACTTCATTTTCTTGATTCCATTTGCTGTGCAAAAGCTTTTTAGTATGATGTAGTTCCATTTATTGTGAAGATCAATGTCCGGTGCTTTTCCTTTATGTTCTCTTCTAAGGAGTTTCATAGTTTAAGATCATATATTTAAGTCTTCCATCCAATCTGAGTTGACTTTTGTATATAGTGTCATACAGGAGTCCAACTTCATTCTGCATGTACAAGTTGAGTTTTCTTAGCACTGTTTATTGAAGAGATTGTCCTTTCCCCCATTGTATCCTCTTTATGTTCTTGTCAAAAATTAATCAACCATGTAGATTTGTATTTGTTTATGGGATCTCTATTCTGTTCTACTGTTCTATGTGTCTGCTTTTATGCCAGTACCATATTTAAATTTTGATTACTATAACTCTGTAATTTAAAATCAGAACATGCGGTGCCTCTAATTTTATTTTATTTTCTCAGAATTATGCTGGCTATTCAGAGTCTTTAATGATTCCATTAAAAAAAGTGTAGTTTTTTTCCTATTTCTGTAAAGACTGCCTTTGGGACTTTGATAGGGACTGTGCTGAATCTCTGTATTAGTTTTGGGTGGTATAGACATTTTATCAATGTTAGTTCTTCCATACCATAAGCACAGGATATCTTTCCTTGTCTTCTTCAGTTTCTTTCATCAATGTTTTATAGTTTTCAGTGTTCCAATATTTCCTTGGTTGAATTTATTCCTAGGTTTGTTTCTGAATGGGGGAGCGGAGATAGGACTGTCTTCTTAATTTCTTTTTCAGTTAGGTTGTTATTYGTGTACGAAAATTCTGTTAWTTTTTTCATATTGGTTTTGTATCCTGAAATTTTACTGAATTCATTTATTAGTTATAGCTTTTTATGGAATCATTGGTGAATTTTTTTTACATATAGGACAGTGTCATCTGTAAACAGAAGATTTTACTTCTTTTGGACATGGAGGCCTATTCTTTATTTTTCTTGTCTGATTGCTATTGCTAGTACCCTTTAGTTCTATGTTGAATAACAATGATGAGTGGGACCGGGTTGTGGCTCAGTGGTGGARTGCTCGCCTAGCATGCCTGAGGCACTGGGGTGGATCCTCAGCACCAAATAAATACAAAATAAAGATATCTTTGTGTCCACCTAAAACTAAAAAATAAATATTAAAAAAATGATGAGTGGAAATTCTTGCCTTGTACTGTATCTCAGTGGCAGCTTTTCCCTGGTGATTATAATATTAGCTGTGGATTTTTCATAAACATCCTTTATTATGTTGCAGAAGTTTTCATCTTTATCTAACTATTCAGAGTTTTTAATTAAAGCATGTTGGAATCTGTCATATGCTTTATCTGTGTCAATTGAGATGATAAATTCTTCCATTCTGTTAATATGAGTATATCACATTGATTTGTGTACATTAAACCAACCTTGCATGCCAGGGAAAAATCACACTTGGTCATGATGTGCAACATTTTTGATATATTGCTGGATTCAATTTACTAATATTCATAAAATACTAGTAATTTTTGCATCAATGTTCATTGGAGAAATTGGCCTTTAGTTTTCTTTTCTTGTGATATCTTTTTCTGGCTTAAGATCAAAGAAATGATTACTTCACAAAATATGTTTGGAGACAATCTTTATAACTGTGTTTTTCAACAGTTTTTAAAGTATTGCTATTAATTCTACTTTAAATGTTTGGTAGGATTTAGCTGTGAATCTAGCTACTTCCTTGGCTTTTCCATCTTGGGAGGTTTTTGTGTATTTATTAAATTTCTTTATTTGCTATTGGTCTGCTCAGGATATCTATTTCTTGATGACTCCATTTTGGTGGTTATATTTTCTAGTAATTCATCCAATTCCTGTAAATTGTCCAACTTGTTGGCCTATAATTGTTCATGATAGTCTGTCATGAATATCTCTATTTCTAACATATCTGTTATAATTTGCTTTGCTTCTTTAAAAATTTGACTCTTTTCCCTTTTGTTCTTTGACTAGCTGAGAGTTTTTCAATTTTGCTTATTGTTTTCAAAAACACACCTCTTAGTTTTATTCTGTTTCCTATTCTCTAGTTGATTTATTTCTGTTCTGATTTTATTATTTCCTTCCTTTGCTAATTTGGAGTTTAGTTTGTTCTTTTTCTAGGTTCTTGAAATGTAATTTTAAACCATTTATTTGGAATCCTTCCTTTTTAAAAATATTTTTTGTTTTTAGTTGTTGGACACTATGCCTTTATTTCATTTATTTTTATGTGGTGCTGAGGATCAAACCCAGCGCCTTGCACGCGCTAGATGAGCACTTTACCGCTTAGYCACATCCCCAGCCCCTGAATCCTTCTTTTTTAATGTAGGCATTTATTGTGCTAAAGATCCCTCTTAGAAATTTTTTCACTGTACTTTATAGGTTGTGCTTCCGTTCTCATTTATCTCAAGATGTTTTCTAATTTCTTCTTTGATTTTTTCTTTGACTTATTTGTTGTTCAGGAGCAAATTGTTTAATTTCAACATTAGTGAATTTTTCAAGATTCCTYCTGTTATTGATTTATAGTTTCATACCATTGTGATCTGAAGTGATACAGATATTATTTCAATCTTAAATTTGTTAAGATTTGTTTTGTGACCTAATATATGGTCTATCCTGGAGAGTGTTCCTGTGTGCAGAAGAAAAATCTGTCTCATGTTGAATAGAAATTTTAGTAAACATCTGTTTAGTTCCCTTTGGTGGAAAGTTTAATTCAAGTCCAGAATTTCCTTATTAATTTTCTTCCTGGTTGATCTATTCATTATATAAAGTGGGGTATTGAATTACCCTCATATTGTATTGCCATTTATTTCTCCCTTATTTTAGTATTATTTTCTTTGTGTATTTAGGTGATCCAATGTTAGCTGCAAATATATTTATAATTGTTATTTATGTCTTGTTGATGAATTAACCCTTTTATTGTTTWAAAATGACTATTTTTCTCTTGTGACAGTTTTTGACTTGAAGTCTATTTTATCAAATACAAGCAAAGCCTCCTCTGCTGTCTCTGTGTGTGTGGGTTGGGGGTGAGGGTGCTGGGGATTGAGCTCAGGGGCACTTTGCCTCTGAGCTACATCCCCAGCCCTTTTTATTTTTAAAACAGGGTCTCACTAAGTTGCTGAAGTTGCCCTTGAACTTGTGATATTTCTGTCTTAGCTTCCTGAGTAGCTGAAATTACAGGCAAATGTCACTGCATCCAGCTTTTGTTTACCATTCACAAGGAATATCTTTCTCCATCCTTCCACTTTCAGCCTATTTGTATCTGTAAAGCTTAAGTGGGTCTCTTGTTCTTGTAGGATAACATTTAGTTAGATATTTTTTTCCTTTTTATCCACACAGTCATTCTGTATCTTTTCAATTGAAAATTTAATCCATTTACATGCAAGGTTATTACTGATAGCTAGCAACTTTCTATTATCTTATTATTATTTGTTTSTGGCTGTTTTGTACCTCTTTTGTTCCTTCTTGCTCTCTTGCTGTCTGCCTTAATGATTGTAAATTTCTGTAGGGTTAAGCTTTGATTTCTTTCCCTCTATCATTTGTATACCTGCTGTGATTTTTTTTGTTGTTGTTGTTTTGTTTTGTGGTTATCACGAGGCTTGCATAAACATTAGTTATAATCTGTTTTAAGATGATTACAACTTCACTTCTGTTGTATACAAAAATTCTAGATTTTTAACTTCTTTCCACATGTTCTTGAAATTAATTTGCATTTTATCTTATATATTTCTTCACAACACATTGTACTTTATTTTTTACCAATTTAACTTTTAACCTTTATATCAAAGATCTATGTAGTTTACATATCACCATTATAATATCCGAGTATTCTGGATATAATATATATTTACTTTACCAGTAATTTTTATAGTTGCATATGTATAGTTGCATCGTGATAGTAATTTTTTATCCTTTTGTGTCTGCTTGAAAAAATTCCTTAAGCATTCTTGTAAGGCAGGCCCAGTGGTAATGAATTCCCTCAAATTTTGCTTGTATATAAAATAACTCATTTCTCTATTACTTCTAAGGATTTCTTTGCTGACAATAGTATTCTTGGTTGGTAGATTTTTCCTTTCCGCACTATGAATATATCATCCCATTCTTTCTTGGCATACAGGGTTTCTTCTGAGAAACTTGCCAATAGTCTAATGGGAATTTTCTTAGATGTAACTTGATAATTTTATCTTCCTGCCTTTAAAAACACTGTCTTCAACTTTGAAAAATCAACTTTGTTCATTATATTATTTCTGAATAATTGAAGCAAAAAGGGAAAAACCCAAATCGTTAGGGACATTTTAGTTATTAAGTTCTGACTTAGAATTAATAACAAATCACTAACTCACAGCCTACAGACACACTCGAAAACATACTCTACCTGGCATTTGATGACAAGAAAATGTCAGTTTTTCATTTCCAGGTCAAAACGAATAGAATCTTAGAACCTGAAGTGAGCTTAGAGACTATTACTCAGGAAGAAACTGAGCAACTTGTTTTAAGGTCTTGTAGGTTAAAGGAGGCTGGACTTCAGACCTCCTGAGCATGAGGTCATTGCTGTCTGTATCTCCACCAATGTGGAGGTACTCCACTTTATTAACACAGGTGTCGTCACCAGTTTCACGAGGGATTTCAGTTCTTTTCATTGCACCAATATACCATGTATCTGTGTCAAGATCACTCCTAGTTACAAAATGTCCTCTATTTTGAAATCAAGTGTACAGGGGAGTGTTGTGTTGTTTTTTTTTTAATAAAATTTGAATAAAGATTTCAATTTCAGCATTATTATAATGGAAAGCTCTTTAAGAATGTTTGGGATTCTAGATTCAGGATTGTAAATCAAATGGAGGAGCATAATGAAACCATCCAATTTGAAAGATCACTGTCACCTTTTAGTTGAAGCAAATCCCCAATACTAGAAATAATGTTTGCTTTTCTAGGAAAACAACCTGATGAGGGACTCAGGCCACCAGTTCAGATATTATTGTGTTCTGTTGTTGTTTGTTAGGTTGTTGCCAACAAAGTACGTGGGGAGAGATACAGTTAACTTCGAACTAATAAAACTCATCCATGCAGATCCTSTCTCCAGTACAGAATTCTGGTTTTAGAGATTTAATTCCACAGGTTGTTAAATTCAGCCATGATGGAACGGACAGCAAAGTGGATGGCAGAAGTGGGGTTGGGATCAGTGTGGAGGCAGGATCTCGTTGGCGTTTTAATTTATTCCCCGTCTTTAACCTTCATGCGGAACCCACAAACCACAGGAAAGGAAAGAGATCAATAAGCACCRTTGGTGAAAACAGAGCTTTCCAAGTTCTTCAACCTTTTCTGAGCCCTTTCTGTTTCTCCTCTCCTGGAACATGCAAACCCTATTTCCAAGACAGAGTAGGACTTGCTCCCATGCTCCACTGCTTTCCAAAAAAGCCTTTATTCTTCAGCTTAATGATCTGGCTGCCAGCATTTGCACTCACCCTGGCAGCTACGCTGAAATGCACACACCAGCCAAACACTCACAACACTCTGTCCAGGCCCATGCTGCTCATCAGCTACAATAACAAAAGGTGGAAACTCAGGTTGGAGTCCATTGAATGTTGATGAAACCTGCCGGAAAGGCAGTTGTGAAATGGGCCCCAAATTCTCCTCCCAACTGAATATTATGGTTGTTTTTCTAATGCTATGGACCCCTGGCTCCTGTGTAACAAATATTAACACCTCCTTGGTTGTATAACATCCCAGTTAATTGCTCACATTTTTTATTATAGCATACATTTATTTCCATCTTTTTTCCTCGTAGGTTTAGAGTGAAGCAGCCCGCACCCAGTACTGGACTGAAASTGACTTACAAACCTGGGCCTGTAAGTCTTATTATGTGTTATCTGTTGTACGTGTGTGCATGCACCTGTGGATTTCTATGTTCCCAGTGARGTGACCTTTTAAACCATTCTACCCATTCAGTTCTAACCAGGTATAATTTTTCTACTATCATAAGCAAAAACATTCCTACTATTGATAAAATATGTGGCATGATATCATTTGTTTCCTTTAAGCACCATGGGAAAGATCCTGTGTTAAGCAGAGTTAAACTTCTAGTTACAGAAACATTTCTGAAGCTCCCCTCWCTTGCTCAAGGAGTATGGTTATGTACAGTTATGTATGAAGACTAATTTCAAAGTTAAACTTAAAATTAAATTCTTCTGCAAAGTGAAAAATCCTTCAGAAAAACCAGTAATTATTCTATTCTATTTTACACAAGTCTGGTTTGCTCTCTTGGTTTTTGCCAGAGAATATTTTTTAATGCCATATTAAGAAATGGGTAGCTATTCATCAGCRGATTCAGTTCTCCAAAGTTCTCTGAAAAAAACGAATTTGATAACTTGTTCTTTGATACATTCCCCCAAATGAGATGTTTAGTGACAAGAAAAGTATATTAGTGACATATTGTCACTTATTTTAACTTCTTTTTTKGGGGGTGGGGGGTGTTGATGGGGATTGAACCCAGGGCCTTGTGCATGCAAGGCAAGCACTCTACCAACTGAGCCATATCCCTACCCACTTATTTTAAATTCTAATTTCAGAAATATGGTATATTGTAAACAAAAGTTCATCACTAAATGTAATAAAATCATGCCTGCAGATTGGTTAGTGCATCATTTGGCTGCTTTAACATCCCTTTCTTCTCAYTCAGCAAACTGAGCTCCTCCCAGATGACAAATGATAGTGCTTGGATGCAGAGAATGTTAAAAATGAGGTTCACTCCTGTAATCTCAGTGGCTAGGGAGGCTGAGGCAAGAGGATCACAACTTCAAAGCCAGCCTCAGCAATTTAGCAAGGCCCTATGCAACTCAACAAGACCCTGTTTCTAAAATAAATAAATAAATAAATAAATAAATAAATAAATAAATAAATAAATAAATAAAAATAAAAAGAGGTTGGGGATGTTGTTCAGTCGTTAAGTGTTCCTGAATTCGATCCCTGATTTAAAAAAAAAAAAAAAAAAAAAAAAGAGTAAGACACACAGAGAGCTTACAGAGCCAGGCACATGGCAGGTACTCAAGGTGCATATGATTAAGTGATAGAATGAAGTAGGAAATCTGGTAAATATACGAGCCATTTATCACAGATGGGACTATAAACTTAGGCTCAGAAGAGCAGTTAGCAAGGGTATCTGGGACTGTAACAAGTACACAATGCTCCCTGGGTCTTCATTTCTTAAAGCAGCAGAGTTGTTATTCCCTCACATAGATGGGTCAATCTGGAATAGTGCAAAGTCCATTGGCTTCTTGACTATACCCCCAAGAATGCTGATGTTGTTAGTTAATGCTCTGAGCCTTTTCCTTATCTGTCAMCGAGGAAGTTTAGAACAGTCTTAGCCCACTTCTACCTCTGTTATCTCATAATCAACAGAAAAACAGCATTACATAGGATGAAACTCCAAATAAAAGTATGTGTTGAGACTAAGTCCACAAATTCAYGAGTGCCTCTCTGAAATAATTCATCACTGTATTATGTTAAGATTTCAGAATCTTCACAACATAAAGCAAAACAAAAATCAAAGCAAATCCTCTTTCATGTTCTGGGAAGTTAGTAAATCTCATTTTAATCTAAAGTAGGAATTATGCCAAAAGCTGAAATGACTGTTGGATCAACCTTTATAAATAATAAAAACCCAGGGTGTATTCTTTGAAGCTCACTCTATATTGTTAAGATTTTTTTCTAGTTTTTTTTTTYCATTTCTTTTTGACAGTAAGTTTTGGCTCTAGCAAAAAATATAATCTATAGACTTCACCATATGTAAATCTAACCACTGTTCAGCTTGGTTAGTCGCCAACTTTAAATGAGTATGCTCAAAGCCTGGGTAAACCTGCATGATGGCAATATTCCAGCTCGCCTCATGCTGAATTTCGTCATTACCCAACCCTGTTTTGATTTTTGGGCTTGGAGAACTGAGGGTCTGATTCTCAGGAACAGAGCTGTTGGATCCCCTCCAGTATGCATATATGCACATTGTTGAAAAAACTGAAACATTTTTCAATTCTATTATTTATAAAACTATATTGAAAAAATTCCATTTGTATCTAATTGCTTTCCATGTGGTAGTTTCTGATTTATTTATTTTTTTCCAGATAACTGTTCCCAAGTCTGCTTTTTAACTCACCTCCTGGAGAGGCAGCTTAGAAACATAAACAGCTCTTTCTTTCCTGGCTAGTATTCTTTTCAAGGAACAAGGCAAGAAGCCCATGCCTTGSTGTGTTTCTACTTCTTTATGTATCAGGTTTCTTTTCTGTTGGTACAAGCCTCCTCCATGTAGCTTTCAAATCTAAGTAGTTTTGCATTTAAACTAATTCTGTCTCCCTCTACTGGCTTTGTCACTTTACACATCCTGTATTAGGAACACTAGGACCAAGGCATTGGGTAGGAATGTTAGAGAATTCACCTATTCTCTTAGATTCATTTTAAGATACATTTATATAGTTATCTTAAATTAATCTCCACCTGCAAGGATGCCAATAAAAAATTCTCAATTAATATTCAAGAAATAGCACAATTGTGGGTATTGCAGAAGTTTGCCTTTAGTGTCACTTCTAATAGCCTGGCATTTAGTTTCTTTATGATTTTCCCCAGATTTACCCCTTGAAAAATTTATTCTGGGTCCCATTTACTCAATTCTACCTAATCCTAGGAAATAATTTTGCTAAATGCTTAGAACACTATAATTAATTTAGTGCCAAATTTAGAAATAWGAAAATTGAAGATGAGAGTTTAAGTAACTTGCCTAAATTAGGTAAAAATCAGGATTTGAACTCGGTGTGTGTGTCTACTGCTATGGCTACATTTGTCTTATAGGTGGCAGCTGGTTTGCAGGCAGAGCTGAAGGTGGAGCTGTTTGCCATGGCTATTGGAGAGGAGGGTGCCAAGGGATCAGCACACATCTCTCACAATATTGAGATTATGACTGAGCATGATGTTCTGTTCTTACCTGTGGAAGCAAATATCCTTTAAAGATCAATCTGGGTAATCATACATAGTGTAGAGATTACATAGGAGTGAAAAAACCATGGATGTCAAAATGTGTCTCCTTTTCTTCATTAGTTCTACATATAAAATTATAAGTTAAATTTCTTAGGACAAAGACTGTGTCTTCATTCATTTTTTTTTAAAGGATTCATCCAAATTGAAAARATACCTGATATACAGTATATTAGAAGTAACTACAAGTTGAATAAATGCCAGTGTTATTGACTATCTATGGAATATCAGACAATCAAAATAAATCTTTCATCTAAAACAACGTAATCTCATGGGGCAGGGGCAGAAGATATACAGGTGGGATTTTCACTGAATCATACAGGCATTCCTTCATATTGGTGTCTCTAGCCACATTAATATCACACAAGTACCTAATACCTATTATTTGCAGAGTATCATATAGTTTATGTACAAATGGAAAATCATACCCCACTTTTTAAAATTAAATAACACAGTAGCAAAAATGAAGTCAAATAACAACAAACAAGAAGGGCGGAAATCCTCGCCTTTATGTAACTTAGGACAGATGATACACAAAATAAGTAAAATGTGGCCTATGATTCAAACAAGGACAGTGAAGAAAAATATAAAGTAGGATGTAGTAGAGAGTGTTAAGAGGTTTACAATTAAAATAGGATGGTTTTATTTTTATTTTTAAACATTTTTTAGTTGTAGACAGACATAATACCTTTATTTATTTTTATGTGGTACTGAGGATGGAACCCAGTGCCTCACGTGTGCCAGGCAAGCACTCTAGCACTAAGCTACAGCCCCAGCCTGGTTTTTCTTTTTTTTCATCTTTAATAGTGATTAGGCTCTTCCATTGTGATAGAAGGAAAATAACCAAAGAACTGTTTTTTTTCCTTCTGTGAATTAAATCTTACCCTGTCCCCATAGGTTATTAAATACTGATCCTGMGTACCTGAATTGCTGTTGCTGATGATAGCAAGGAAACTTATGCTAATAAGTTTTCCATTTCCTTGCTTACAGAGTAGAACCATTTATCAATTAGGCACAGATCGACGGRGAAGGAATAGGGAGGTTTTCTAAGATCTTTTATCTACTTCCAAAGTCAATGATAGTTTATAGCCCATTTCCCAAGACCTCTTCCCACCAAATAAAGCATGAAATTTGGATGCTGATGTTGTTTGGAGCATGATTATAGTGATGGCACCTTACAGAGAGGCCAGTCACAGTTTGGCAAGAAGTATACATAGGGGAGAACASAAGACACTCTTAAAATATTGATATCCATCTTCTAACCTCTAACCATGTTCATGTAGAATTTGTACTAGAGAAGAGTACCTAAAATTGAGCTGGTGTTGCTAGAAATAAATAAGACTCTTATGATTTGAAAATGTTATTTGGGTTTGTATATACAAAAAAAAAAAAAACTTAGTCATGAAAATTATAGTCCTTAATGAGTATTTTACCAGTTGTAACAAGCAAATACTATGATAATCGACCAAAAGATTTTCCCCAGGGAAAAGAAAATCCCATGGTCCAGAAGACTTCTACAATTCCTTCCTCTACACTTGGTGTCTTCATGTCTCGTAAAGGTTCTCCATATTAGGTCCAGTAAGTAGTAAGTGGGGATTTGATTTGTCAAACATTCAAATTTGAGGCCACATACCTCAGTTTGTTCTCTTCTTCTTATAGTCACAAACCAAGAAACCACTTAACCTCATTGAATGAAAGTATTTGTATTCAATAATTATAATAGTTACCCTTTTATATATTATCAAATTCAATCTTCAATAAGATAGGTTTTCTTTTTCTATTTTATGAGGAAACAGGCCTGATAATCTTAAGTGGAAGTAAAAATCTAACATTTTTTGTGAGTCTATAGTTCATTCTTGTAAGTACTACATTCATTGTATATGATAAGTTGATTATACTTTCCAAAAAGCACCTAGGCACCCTTTTTTGGAATCAAGAATTTACAATTAAGCCAATGATTTTCAAATTTTGTAGGCTCAGGATTCTTTTTATATTCTTAAAATCTATTGAGGATTTCAAAAAGCTTTTTTGTATGTGGGTAAAACTTAACAATAWTTACCAAACTAAGATTAAAACTGGAAAAATTTAGAAYTAGAAAAAAATAAACCAGTATATTAAAATACATATTTTTAATAGAATAACTTCTCCAAAACAAAGATTAAATGAGTGGATTTTTTTTTTTTAAATTTTGCAAGTCTCTTGAACATTTGGCTTAATAGAACATAGCAGATTCTCACATCTGCATTGTATTCAGTCTGTTACCATATCACACCATAAAGCCTCTGGAAAACTCTACCTCATACCTTTCCAGTAAAACTAGGAATCAAATTTCCAGCTTCCAAATTATAATGGTATGGGACAAGYGTAAGATAGACATCCCCATCCCAAGAGAGAAAATGGTCTAAAGCAATTTTGTGATCCAGTAGGGAAAATTTCATTAGGTTTCAAGGACAGAGAATAAACACCTGTGGCACTACCTGCGCTCTGTGCCAATGGAGGCTCCAACAATGCCATCCTCCAGGACTCTCCATCAGATCTGCCCTCTTGGCCCTTGGCAGCAGTTCTATTCTATGGGCAGCCTGCTTCCTGCTCACAGAATTAGAGAAGCTGAATAGCTTTTCTTCACTTTGTCCCATCTCTGTCTCCTTAAGAACTGTTATATCAGTTCATGCTGATATAAAATATCCCCCAAACCAGCAGTCTTTCATGGATATCAAGGGGTCTATACCAAGTAAGACATCACAGTTCTCCAGATTCTTCCTGGATGATCTCTATTCCTGGATTCTGCTGAGTTGGTTGATTGGATCCATGGTYGAATGCCTACTTTCTACAGCAAGTTTTTCATCCCGGTGTCTAGTGATTTCTCCAGAATATACCATTGCATCTTTTGCAATATGGAAAGGGAGAGGCTATGAATTTTCCAAATAATCATATTCTGATCCCTTTCTGCTGAACAGTTGCCCCTTTATTTTTACACAAGAGGCAAGAAATCAGGTCACACCTTCCATATTTTGCTTGTGAATTTCAGCTAAATATCCAAATTCATTTTTAAGTTCTATTTTCTAGTCATCAGTAGAACACTGAATTTGGCTGTTTTCTGTTACTTTCCAGTAAGGATCACCTTTCCTTCAGTATTCAATCCAATACCATGTTTCCTATTTTTGGCTGAGGTCTCATCAGAAGCACCTATGATGTTCATATTTTTACCAACATTATTCATAACATAGGAATCCAAGATGATTGTTTTCTACAGTACTCACCTCCTTTAGAGATCTCACCAGAATTGCCCTTGGTGTCCATATTACTACCAAAAGGCTCTTGTAAGGCCATCCAGATTTTTTTTGTACCATGTCACTCAGAATTCTTCTAGCTCCTACCCAGGAACAAACTCCAAAGTCACTTCACTATTTTTAGGTATTTGTTATGCAGCAGCATTCCACTTCCTGATAGCAAAATCTGCACATTCCTTGCGCTACACTAACAAATGACCACAAACTGGGTAGTTTAAAACAACAGATCCTATCTCTTGCAGTTTGGGCTAGAGGTCAGAAACAAGGCTTTGGCAGGGTTGGTTCCTTCTAAAGGTTCTGAGGGAGAATTTATTCTAAGTCTCTCCTAGCTTCTAATAGTAGTCAGCAATCCTTGGTGCTCCTTGGCTTCTGATTACATCATTCCAATCCCAAACTCTTCCACTATCACATCATCTCCTCCCTCTATAGCTTCACATGGCATTCTTATGAGGAGTCACTGAATTTAAGGACCTGTTTTCTCTAATCCAGTCTGATCTCATCTTAACTAATTACATTTGTAAGGACCCTATATCCCAATATGGTCACATTCATAGGACTGGGGTGGACACAAGTGTCCAGAGGACATTATTCAACCCAGTACACAGTTTAATACTGTAGTCTTAGCCTTCACTATGGGAATCAAAGGCATGGTTGATTTCAATTGTGGCCTATGACTTTCAGCAGTTAGCCCAAAAATAAAGCAGTAAAGTTAGCATCTCTAGCTGGATAAGTCTTATTCTGTTGAACAGCTTTCAAATTAAAAGATTCAAAAGTTCTATTGGCAGGAACTTAAAAGTAATTTCATGAATACTCCTGTAAGAAGAAATATCTTATGCCTTAATGCCACTTTGTGTATATTAACAGTTAATGTGATTAAAATGATGCAGTAACAATAGTGACATTGTTTCCTTTAAGTACCTCTCAAAAACTCTTGAGTAGGCACTATTAAACCCACTTCATAAAGTAACAATCTAAAAGATAGTTTGCTCTACAGAAGCTGTATTAGTTGTCTGTTGCTTACTCAAGTAAATACAGTGAATTCAGTTTCTTGCAGGCTCTTAAGACTGAGGGCTTCATTTCCTCACTAGATATTGTCTGTAGTTCCCCTGCAGTTCCTTGCAYGTAGGCCTCTCTTTAGGGCATTTTGACTCATAATACATAAAGCAAGAAGACCCTAAGAAAATGTGGGAAAGGCAGAGTTCAGTGTTTTGTAATCTAATCTTGGGTGAGATATCCATTTTGTTGTACTCAGTTCATCAGAAACCTATCATTAGGCCTAAGGCATACTCAAGGGCAAGGGATTAGATAAGAGCAACTGAGTATTCCCAACCCTTGTATAGGGTCTGGCAGTAGTCTTTAGGGTTTTTATGGAGTTTTGAGTACCTTGACCAAAGTTATAACTTAGCTACTTATTGTACTCATCATTTTATTTCAGGTTCCATTTCTTTTTGATTAGGATAACACTTATCAGACAGAGATACCTTTAAATTATCTACTTCTGTCCAAAAGACTAGTCAATCGTAGRTGGTGGTAAAGCTATGGAAAAGCAGCACTTTTTAAACATAAGAGCAATTGTTGATGATAATGACATAATGACATATACATTTAAAGTATCCTCCTGAAACCTGTTTTGGTTTATAAATCATCAAAAATGTTAATGGAAAATTCTTGGTGGCAGGAATAGCTGCCCAAACAAGATCAATTCGGTAGATATCACATAGACTGCAWATTTTCTATTCTCATGCCTTTCCATAGTTAGGCCTTCAAAACTCTTAAGCCAAAATTCATTCTTTATTATTATACTGCCCAACAAATTACACCACTGTATCCTTTCTCTCATTTCATAACACTTTAGTGTTACGCTTAATTAACAGATTCATGGTTTGGGACATAAATCTCTAAGCCACAAGACCTGCAACTCTTGAGCCTGGGAAGAAAACTGTACCACCAAAACACAGAAATTTAAATGAAACGGACAAATTTATAGAAATATAAAGAGTGAAACTACCTCAAGAATATATAAAAAAATCTGAATACAAGCTGTAACAAAGAATCTTAATTAGTAATATAAAAACTTCCCCAAAGAAAAGCCCAGGTCCAAAGATATTTGTGTCAATCTCTACCTAGAACATTCCCACCTCCTCAAATATACCATGTATGTACATGAACACGAACATAAACATGTACATGAACATAAACACAGAGCATCAATCACTCAGAAGCCCAGCAAGGCATCTTACCTTGWCTACTCTTTAATTAGAAACAACCATTTTATTCAGAAATGTATAAAGAGCAATTAAGATCTTATATACAGATATAACAACCTGTAAGAAGTTACATTTAAGGAGACCTTTCTAGATAATTTTTGTGGTCCTTTTCAGCTTCATGAGTCCATGACACTGCATAATGGGCAAATGAAAATCAATTATGCACCTGACTGTCTTAAAAGGGAGGTAAAACCTAGTATGAAGGTAACAAAGCATACAACAAATTATCTGCCACAAGAAATATTTTTTAAAAAACCCTTTTGAAATTTTAATTTCAACTGCAGTGAAATAAATAATTAATTTTAAAAATTCTTTGTTCCCTGCTAGAAAATAAAAAGGAGGCAATTCCTGTGGGACTTAATCTGCTGCAAGCACAAAGATTTTTAAGCTAGTCACACTTTCAAGTCCAACAAGTGGAGCCAGATCATAGACTCATGTTGAAATTCCCTCAGGCAAAGCTGGGAGCCATATTCTGAGATCTTCCACAACATAATCTTCTATTATTTGGCATTTTTAAGATGGTGCCATGCTACTACTGCTTAGTTTAGAAGTTCTTTTAAGGAAACAGTAGAAAAGACACCACATTTCAGTTCTAAGTCAATGTTAAAATTAGCTTCTCTCTTTTTTTCCTCTTCCTTTTCTTTTCTTCCAATTGGGTAGTAGCCTCAGCAAAAAACATAACTTCACTTTTTGCCTCACATTCCCTTTTGAGATAATCAAGACCTGCCATATTGAAGCCGATAACATCCTAGAGAGGAACAAAAGAAAGATTAAACAAGCTTTCTGACATTTCAGTTTAATATAACAGCATAAGTGAGCTAGGGGAACCACAGCTTTAGATATGGTTACATATCCTTCTTTCCCTGAGGAGTTTTTAGGGATTTTCATTTGTTTCCTTTTAAAGTCTACTCCTACCAATATCAACAAAAACTTTATCTCAAACAGATTTATATGTGGTTGATATTGCTAAAGATAAGGCACAACATACTCCACATCTCTAAGTCACATATATGTTG